AGAGATAGAGAGAGAGGAGATGAGAGAGAGGATACATAGAGATAGAGATGAGAGAGAGCAGACTAGAGAAAGATGAGCAGAGAGAGAGATTTTCGAGAGATGAGGAGAGAGAGAGAGAGAGAGAGAGAAGACTGAGAGAGAGAGAGAGCAGAGAGAGAAGACTAATACAGCTTGCACGCACGACCCACGCGCGTACGCTGCGCACACTTAGCTGATGACGTCAGATGACGCCGGACACGACAATGTTGGCGCCATTGCCGATCTACTTATTATACAAGTATTATACACCACGTGCAATGTAATGTATGGAGACGCCTACGCACATAATTGAGTTTCTGCTCTACGTACAATCGCGAACATGCGTTCGCGTGATCATACTTATCACTTTGAAGGGCAGAAATCGATTCAAGTCATGCGCGCTGTGTGTGCCGTCCATAAACCTAATGAGACGCGAGCGGGCATATCGACTAGCATGAACGCCTTTTCCAGGTAAGGCTTGCAGCCATGCAGGCGGCATGAGGCAGCATTTGCGCCGTGGATTTACTCGCGTGATGTTTCGTATGTCTCGCGTATAGTAGTTCTTAAGTGCTAACAAACGATGCCGACCTCCCAATCCTATTACGCTCTCTCATCTGAACACTCAGTTGCTATGACCGCCAGTGTCGCGTGTTCCGGCGCGAAAGGCGAGAAGATCAGGATAGACAGTAATTTCCGCTATCCGTGCCGGAAGCTATATGTAAGGCCACGTACGCACTTAGCGTTGGCGGTTCCCTTACACACCCAGCACCACGCTGTTGCTACTCGGGATAAAGCAAACAGAAGCAAATTGGAGCCAGTGTTCTTATAGATGATCATTGCTGCCCAAAGAACTGCAGGTTGCAACACAACAAAACAAAACAAACAAAAAACACACAAAAAAACCAAACAAACCAAAACAGTCTAACATTACAGGCGTCAGATCCGCAACGAAACAGGCGTCAGATCGCTCCCCACTAAACGCCAACTGTCAGTCAAATAATATCTAGGTTTACACGCGTCGACCGCGTCTCTGCCTAAGATTACACTTCGTCTGGTTTTCAGCTTAGCTTGCCAATCCGCTGCAAACGCGATGGATGATTCAGTGAGCTCGCTTCGCGCGCCCCGCACTGGACCCGTTCATTCGTCGAAATCGAAATATAGTCATTTGCAGGATCGCAGATCCATTTTTTGCGAGAATGACAGAACTAATTACGCAAAATGCGTACATTGCTAGTTTAGGTATAGTGAGTTCCGGTTAAAACGTGCAGCGCCCGTGACTAAGCATGATTCACACTATGCTCAGACGGACGGAAACGTGCTGCTTGAGAGATGTGAGCGTTGCCGACGTTTCTTGTGGCTCATTGTTTGGACGGCACGGAGCCAAACAATGGGTGACGACAATAGATGTAACAGCCGCGCTCGTGCCGCACTCGTAATTACGTTGACCGACATGTCAGATGGAAACCTGCACTGCGGCGCCATCATACTCCATTCATTTACGCTGCTGTAGCATCCAGCCTCACCATGGCAACGCCAGCCAAACTGTGAATGCATACACCACCAGGTTTAAGGGAATAATCTCCCGATTTTTGTTGTCGTAGAAAAATCGTAACGGCGAAGATAGTCAACGTATGAATCTTAGCAGATCTATACGCGACGTGTCGCTTACTTGATTAATGTCGAGATCGAATAAAATTTACGCTGGCAGTCAATAAAGAACAATTCGGTAGAAACTCGACGCTGTTCGCTGATTGAGCGCTATCCTTCTCGGCTTAACTAGATATTCTATCAATCAATATCTATCCATCCATCCATTCAGCCATCCGGCCATCTAGCCACCAATCCATCCCTCTATCCACTCTCATCTCATCAATCTATACATCCATCCTCCATCCATCCATCCATCATTCCATCCATCCATCCATCCTACATCCAGCCTCTCCATCCATCCATCCACCCATCCATCCATCCATCCATCATCCATCCATCCATCTCATCCATCCATATCCCATCCATCCATCTCATCATATCCAATCCATCCATGCCATCCATCCATCCATCCATCCCATCGCATCATCATCCATCACCATCCATTGCCATCCATCCATCCATCCATCCATCCTTCCATCCATACCATCCATCCATCCATCCATCCATCCATCCATTTCCATCTCCTGCCAATCCATCCCATCCATTCATCCATTCCATCCATCCATCATCCATCCGATCCATCCATCCATCCAGTCCATCCATCCATCCAATCCATCACTCCATCCATCCATCTATCCATCCATCCATCCATCCATCCAATCCATCCATCCATCATCTATCCATCCAACCAACCAACCATCATCCAATCCGGTCCCCCTATCCATCCAATTTCATCATCTCCATCCAGCCTTCCATCCATCGCATTCCACCATCCATCACTGGTATCCTAGTCTTATACATCCAATCTTATCTCGGGAGTCACTGTTAGTCATCCATCCAGTCCTGAGCGCATGCCCATCCATACCATCCATCCATCCGATCCGTCCATCCATCGGCCACGCCTCCATCCATCCAGCCATCACATCCATCCATCCTCCATCATCATCCATCCATCCATCCATCCAATCATCCATCCATGCACGTATCTGCGCACCTCCATCCCATGAGGGCACATCGATATGCGAATCCCTGTTCGTCCCTATCCAGTCCATCCATCGCATAATCGGTTTAGTCCGATTTCCTGCACCTGCCGGATCTCGATATCTGCCCACGTGCGTCAGTCTATCTTCTCAGGTCCTCGCGACGTCGCCACGTGATGTCGGGACGATCTCATCTCGATCCTCCAGCTCGACTCACTGCTTCCCCACGTCGCACGACTCGCATTTTCGCATCCTGTATCACGATCGCATATGTGGAGTGGCTCGACTCGGGACGCCATGCCCTATAGCGAGTCCACGCCACTCCCATCCGATCGATCCATCCATCCACCTCCATGCCGAGCTCATCCACTCCGCATGCCATCCATGCCAGTCCCACTCGGCACGTCCGCATCCAGTCCATCTCATCCATACCCAAGTCCAGGTCCCATCCATCCATCGTCCATCCATCCATCCACCTCCATCCATCCCAGTCCATCTCCACGGTCCTCCATCCACCATCTCCCAGGTGCGCGCCGATCTCTAAGTGCTGTCCATCGCATCCATCCATCCAGTCCATCCACCATCCACCATCCATCCATCATCCATCCATCCATCCATCCATCCATCCATCCATCCATCCATCCATCCATCCATCCATCCATCCATCCATCCATCCATCCATCCATCCATCCAAGCATTATGGCATGATTTATGGAACGCAGATAATGTCACAGTACTCGCTGTACCGATATCATCAATTGTCATTTGGTACCTTTACGTAGTCGTTCTCTCACAGCATTTACACTATTTTATCATCTAATGCATCTAACATTTAGCATCTAACGCATGCCCTAATCAGGAACGACCCTATACGCTTGCGTGCACAGGGTGCGTGCTGCGTGCCTATATATCTCTGTACCTGCCATACTGAGATTTGTCTGATTCCTTGTGCATACGCGACCACATATTACGGGATGGCACCTGATGAATCTCCCATGCAGGTGATATACGCTGCGGGATGGCGGCGGCTTTGGCGCGTTACGGTACGTATTTAGAGTTCATGCGTCTACTAGGAGTGTCTACGTTGTGATCGGGAGACGAGCGTTTCCGCCCTCTCTCGTACTCTTACTCTCATATATACACAGCCGGCGCGCACACATACAAGCGCTCCGCGCGCGCGCACACACACACACACACAGCACAGCACACATCAACACACACAGGCAGCACACACACACACCACACACACACATCACAGAGAACACACACACCACACACACAGACACACACACACAGCACACAGCACACACACATACACACACACACACACAGCGCCGCGCGCGCGCGCCACTATGTTATGTTATGTTATGTTATGTTATGTTATGTTATGTTATGTTATGTTATGTTACGTTAATTATGTTACGTTACGTTACGATATGTTACGTTACGTTATGTTATGTTATATTGCGTTTATATCAGTGCTCTGAGTAATGCCGTCCGTTGAATACTCGCGATCACTGTGCATGCGTGGTGATCGCTGTGAGATACAACACGAAATGGTGAGAACTGACAATTCGCGTTTATTACTGTACTTGCCTTATTAAGCTAAGTTGTTATTCAGCAGCGCAAGCACCCTTCCCGGAAATATTATTGTTATTAGCGCGCGGTAGTCGCACGAACGATTTATGAAGCCCTTCGTCAGAGATTTACTGTCGGTCGATTCGCAATTGGCCAAATCAATGTCTGCTCCACCGTCAGGGCATTTTCTGATGCATAACATTTACAAAAATAAACAGGTGCTGAAATTTAACAGGTGCTTATGTTAAATATTTTATACAAATTTTCGTAAGTCGTTTGTCGTGTAAGGACATAGGCCTAATATGCAACCATGTATGCATATTGCCGATGCGAGAATAATTTGAACTGATCATTGTAACTATCTCAGTAAGATTACCACATTCCCCTTGAATATTTCGATATATTGACGCTAGGTCCGTTAAGATGAGCTTATACGCGTATACGATATTTCCACGCACGCACGTCGAATTGGCCGCGGCTCTGCGGGCACTTCGTTGCTAAGCAGCGGTTTTAGAATGCCCATATCGCCACAACGATTGGCTCGAGCTGCCTACTTGTCAATCACTGCAGACGTGTATACCTCAAATTATGTCGATCAATGATAGATCGCCGCCATGTCGACACGTAATTCGACTTAATAAATGCGCTTTGTCTCCCGCATTGCAGCCGGTACATCAAGCGATGGGTCATCGACCCGGCAGAGTCGTTCTACTACCGATGGCTCTTCGTGATGACGCTGGCGATTTCTTACAACGTCATCTTCATCATCGCTCGCTCGGTGTTCGAGCAACTACAGACGGACTACCGCAACGAGTGGCTCGTAGTCGACTACATATCGGACGCGCTCTTCATACTCGACATGCTTGTACAGTGCAGGAAAGGTACACTGCGCACAGATCCATCTACATATTTGCATTCATAAAAATAAAAAATATATATATATATATATGAATAAATAAATATATATATATATATATATATATATATATATATATGTTACATATATACATTCATAAAAAGTATATACTATAATCGCATAAATTTCCTGCATGAGCAGTTTTTTTCTGAAATTCATTCTCTTTATAAATTCATTCTCTTCATAAACCAAAAGCTTTATCGTAATATTTATTGATTAGATGATTTTAAAGGGGTCGTTCTGAGAGATTCTAATCGCTCAAGCTTTTAAACCATCTAATAATGTGTTTCTCATGTTTTGATTTTCGAACCTACGTCTTCCAAAGTTTGCATGTCTTCATGCCCATTTGACCTGAAAGGTTCATATATGTATCATTATATAATGTCATACATGGAACCCATTTTGTCATCAACTGCCACAGTTTATCCGTAAGGTGTCGCCACTGTATTCACTGGCGCAACTGTCATGAGACGAGACCTTTATGTAAGGCTACTACTCGCCCATAAACGACAAAATCACATGTATTTTCTTACCCACATTTCCTGACGTAAATTATAAACTAATCCTAGGTGTCGCAGCGCACACATCTTCTGGGACTACGGTGTGCTCCCTAAATGGAACAAGTGTGAATTTTAATGATGTTCACTGAAAGAAAATACTGCTTAGTATGCATCGATCTGTCTGCATATTCACGCTGATGCAGCCACAGATTACTGGCTCGGCCATACATAGCCGGATATCTAACCAAGCCTTCCTATTGGTTGTCAGACGATGCGTCAAAACTTACAACAACGTCGTTACTTCCGGAGTGACGACCCGACAGTGTTTTAGTAGAGGTCACGTGACTTATCATAGCTTATTAACGATTTCCCAACAAAAAAGGATAACTATCTGCGGCCCACAAGCTGGACCACAGGTAATACCGAGATTAATGACCCGGTCCTCTAATCCAACTTGAACCATATCGTTTCAAACCAGAGACAGACCAAAAATGTTATTTTTGCTATTTTGAGCATGAATAAGATACATTGAGATATTTTTTCATGATTCATCCGTATAACTGCGAGCGAATATATTGTGAAAAGGCTTTTATTTCTATAGTTAGAGGTATTGGACAGGGCTCCGGACTTTCCTTTTCCTTTTGCTGGACGTGTTATTTAATGATAGAGAAGCTAAACTAGCGCCGGACAGTAGTCGTATATTAAATTGCAATACATTTACACTAACCACGACGTTCTCAATATCTCTCTATTAAAACCCGTAGACATGTCTATGGTAAAAGCGCGAACGTATGTATTGGCTTGCCGTCGATGCTACGCCGCGCTTACCTGACTAATCAAATTAAACGAGCGAGGCTTCGTCAGATCCAAATAGGCGCCAAGGAATTAGATTAGCAAATCAATGATGGATGCTGCTGCTGTAGATGCCGCGGTATGGTAAAGCATGCAAGCTGAATTATAGCTAGTTAGTAGACACATTTTAAAAGGGAAGGCAATATGAAAAAATACAAAAAATTGTAAGTGTGATGTGTAAATGTATAAAATTGTCCGTGAAGTCAAACTTCCTTCTCAAAAACTATTATCTTGCCTGTATTTGCCATTATTTTCTTCCACGACACCTATGTCGCTACGATAGCATTTGCAGCGGCCACCGTGTACATGCTAGTTCACTAGATGGTGACTACAGGTTCAACGTTAAACAAAGACAGCACGAATCTTGTCCTGATAATTCTCGTCGTGCCTACTATCGTATTTTAAAACCATGGATTAGAGTTACAAGCGGTAGCATTGACTCCCATCTTTCTACTATATGTAACGAGTTATGAGCGCCATAATGTAATTATAATAATTTAATTCTAAAATGCATATGACTTTCCTCCCTTCTATTCAATCGTTTCACGAAATGAGCATGAGGACGATATAATTATTGCACATAATGCGTTCTCCGTGCCCTTTTAATAAAGAGAAGTATCATGATAAAACGGCCGCATTTATATAAGGTCGAATGAATATCTATCCGGCTAAGATAATAATATGTTTAAGATATTAATTTTAATTGAATGTTGATGGATATTGAGCTTTGTAAATGTGATGGTCTGATGGAGATAGGATGTCGTATGTATTAATTGCTTATGTACAAACAGGCGATCGCCTCATAATTTGTTTAATATAATTTATATAATATATAATTTTATAATACGTGATACAGATCTAGCAACAAATGAGCTATATTTATATGTATATATGAGGTTTTGAGACATATATTCCTCAGAATTTCAGATTTCTCAGAAGAAACATTTACATGAATATCAAACTGTTGTCGCGCTTCAACTAACGCAAAACTAAATCCATAAGTAACCCCACCCCCAACCCCTACACCGCCCCACTCTCGTTTTGCTCTCGCAACGACCCACTCACTGATCAACTCTTCTCTCTCTTTTCCTTCGACAGGCTACCTCGAGCAAGGGCTGCTCGTTCGCGACACGTCAAAACTGCTGAAGAACTACGTCGCCACGTGGAGCTTCAAGATGGACGTCATCTCGATCATACCCACAGACATTCTGTACGTGTTCATCACCATCGACTACCCGTCGGTGCGCTTCAACCGGCTGCTGCGCTACGGTCGCCTACTGGAGTTCTTCGAGCGAACCGAGGCGCGCACAAACTATCCGAACTTCATCCGCATCCTCAACCTCGTGCTGTACATATTGGGCATCATTCACTGGAACGCGTGCGTGTACTTTGCGATCAGCAAGGCGATCGGCATCGGCGCCGACGACTGGGTCTATCCTGGGCCGCACCGCAACAACTCGGAGTTCGACAAGGTCTCGCGAAAGTACATCTACAGTTTCTACTGGTCGACGCTGACGCTGACGACGATCGGAGAGACGCCGCCGCCGGAGAAGGACTGGGAGTACGTGTTCCACGTCGTCGACTTCCTCATCGGCGTGCTCATCTTCGCTACAATTGTCGGTAACGTCGGCAGCATGATCACCAACATGAACCAGCAGAAGACGGAGTTCCAGAGCAAGATGGACACGATCAAGCAGTACATGGAGTTCCGCAAGGTGAGCAAGGACCTGGAGCGGCGCGTCATCAAGTGGTTCGACTACCTGTGGACGAACAAGCAGTCGCTGGACGAGGACGGCATTCTGTCGACGCTGCCGGACAAGCTCAAGGCAGAGATAGCAATACACGTGCATCTGGACACGCTGAAGCGCGTCAGTATCTTTCAGGACTGCGAGCCCGGGCTGCTAGTCGAGCTCGTGTTGAAGCTGCGTCTGCAGGTCTTTAGCCCGGGAGACTACATCTGCCGCAAGGGCGACATCGGCAAAGAGATGTACATCGTGAAGCGAGGCAAGCTGAGCGTCGTCGGCGACGACGGACACACCGTCTTCGTCACGCTCGGCGCCGGAAGCGTCTTCGGCGAGGTGAGCATACTCAACATCGCCGGAAACAAGACCGGAAATCGTCGCACGGCAAACGTGCGCAGCGTCGGCTACTCGGATCTTTTCTGCCTCTACAAGGACGACCTCTGGGAGGCGCTGCTCGAGTATCCCGAGGCAAAGAAGGTCCTGCTGGAGCGAGGCAGGCAGATCCTGATGAAGGATGGACTGATCGACGAAGAGGCGGAGAGAGCGGCGGAGAAGACGAAGGAGGACACGCAGAACAAGGTCGATCGGCTCGAGCAGAACCTCGACAATCTGCAGACGAGATTCGCGCGCCTCCTGGCGGAATACACGAACACGCAGGTGCGCATGAAGCAGCGGTTGCACAAAGTCGAGCTGGCGGTAGATGGCGACACTGCGTCGGTGCACAGCCACAGCGCAGCCGATACGAAATCGTAGATAGTGAACTAGCAGCACTCAGACGTCGCAGTAGGACCGATATAATTCTCGAAGCTTCTCGAGGCGGTCGACTTAGAAGTGTCGGTAGTGTTTAGTGCATGCGCGGACACGTCCCGTACGGCACATGCTACTATAATTATGTTTAATGCCGCGAAAAGACGGGTCGTTCATTCTAACGCCGTCCATCAAACGTAAATATACTATGATAGGTACATTTATGCTTGATTGAAATACTCCTGCGATGTTTATAGATTACACGCGAACACTTTATAGTGTCGCTAGAGGGCACTGATCTGTAAACGTGTTTCAACTTTACGGTTAACCCACATCGCTCGTTTTTACTATTATTTTATGCACTTGTAAAAAATACGATTGTTGTTATTACGTCATACAAACGTTCCTGGTAATCTGGTAGCACACGTCGAATGCGCACTCGGCCGTAGCTGAAAGATGTGTCGCATGCGAATGATATAGAGCGACCCGCGCGGGAAATAATCATCGATGTTTATATGAACATGAACATGCATCGTGCCGACATCGTCACGCCAGTGACGGCATCTAACCTGCGAATGACGTAGGAGTTATGTAATATTCCATGTGCGTGTTTTCGTTGAGTTTAAGGAGAAAAGTCGTGCTCCTGATTTTTAAACTACTTATATTATATACATATATGACATTGTTAAGTATTACAGTGATAAAGCGAATTCATGACGAGTGCGAAACCGATGTGGTTATTTTGTATGGCGTGATCGCTGAGAAGGGGTTACGCGAATGACAATAGAGTGAAGTGGTATGACCTAGGCACACAGGGAAAAACGTGTAGATATCATATGACATATGTGTACGAAAATTACTACGAATTATTGATATACACACATGTATTGTAATATTTCGATAGAAACTATATATATATATTATGTGGTAAATGCAGACTACATATGTTATTTTTATGGCAATATTGTCTGAACATTGTCAAAATCATTCAGTAATGGTTAGCTCATGATTAACCCGTCCGTTGTTTTATAGGTGTGGAAGGTTTACGATGTGTTTATTCATCTTAGGATATTAAAAAAAGCTAATTACTGTTGCTAGCATTTGTAGGTAATGAATCGACAGAAATTTTATTTGAAAATATTTACCATCGCTTAGGCCTACGTTAACATAATGTTAAAATTCGTTCGGCTAATCTCACACACATATATATATATATATACACACACACACACACA